TATCTTTTTCAACCCTCTTGACGTATGCATTAATACTGCTTTGTGTTGCATAATGTTTTCGACATTTCTCATGAACTTCAACAGATGTGGTTTTTTTAAATATAACTACTTTAACGTCACCTCTCTTCCTACTAGCTCCAGTATAAGATACCAACTTTTTTTTTTCACAACAGATGTCCTCGATCCGTCATGCAACATATGTTTGAGTGTTAAATAGAGCAAGTTTGTGTTGGAAGGAGTCAGAGGCAGAAATTTTGTTGTGGATTTGCCTGCTTGATATGCGAATAATTGTCTTGAATGACGCGTTCTCCTATTTAGAGCTTCGCTTCTGATATATTGGTCTATTGCTTTCTCCATGGATTTAAGGAAAAATGAGCTAGCTAGTCAAATAACCCTAAGAGTTGGTTAGGGTTAGTTTGCGTCAGCTTAAATTATTTTTTCTACTACCGTGCGTAAATTACTCACTTCACGCACTATTCAAAAGACGTAAAATTTCACTTCACATACTAGTGCGTGAAAAAATGTCAATGACGGATGTCGACACATGTCAATTTAGTATTTTTCTGGTAAATAACTTCACGCACTAGTGTTCTAGGAGAAGACTTTAATGCAAAAATAGGCAGAGGAGCACAGAACCAACGGAAACACACATAGGACAGTTTGGACTCGGCACCAGAAATGGAACGTGGAACGGGAAGAATGTTAGCAAACTTCCTAGAAAGAGAAAGACTCTATCTGATGAACAATTTCTTCCAAAAGAAAAAAAAACGTAAATGGACATAGAATAGCCCAGATGAACAAACCAAAAATGGGATTGACTTTATAATCTCCCGCCATAAATACATAATCCAAGACGTAGATGTAGTCAAAATCAATGCAACACCGGCAGTGCTCACAGGATGGTAAGATGCAAACTGCTCATAAACACAAAAATGGAAAGAAAAACAAAGATGAAACAAACGACGAAGAGAGGAAGTAGAGAAAAGATAGCAGAAAGAAGTGAAACATACAAAGGCTAAAAGAAATTTTTTCCAACAATCCAGGAAAAACAGAAGGGTCATTAGATAATAACAATAGGAGAATAACAAAAGTTATAAAAGAAACAGCAGAACAGATAATAGGCCCCCTAGAGAAAACACCGGACAAACTATCGATAGAAACAAAACAGCTACTAGAGAAAAGGAGAAAACTGATAACCGAGGGTAAAAGAGACACTATTGAATACACAGAAACGAACAAAACAGCAAGAAAAATGGCGAAACAGGATATACTAAAACATCAAACGAAACAAGTGCAATCCCTATTAGAACAGAACCAAGGATTAAATATATTTAAAAGATATAAACACACCTAAGAAAGAGATAACAAAAATAAAAGATGCAAAAAACAACATAGTAGAAGACAGACAACAGATATTAATAGTTGCGGAATCTTTCTATAGAGATCTGTACGAATCTAAAATAGCAAACACAAGGACAAGATAAGACAAAATACGAATAGTGAATGCAAACTCAGGAAAAATGTCCGACATAAATATGGAAGAACTGGAGAAAGGGTTATCCCACATAAAAACTGGTAAAGCGGCAGGAGAAAACAACATTCTGCCTGAAATGCTTAAGGAAAGCGATACTAAGACGAGACAAGAACTAGTGAAACTATTCAATAAGTCCCTAGCAGAAGAACATATACACAAAGATTGGGAGAATGCTGGAGTTGTTCTGATCTACAAGAAAGGTGACCCGACTGATCTCGAAAACTACCGGCTGATAAGCTTACTATCACAGATATATAAATTATTTACCAGAATAATCACCAACAGATTAGAGCGACAACTCGAAGTTTATCAACCAAAGGAACAGGCTGGGTTCCGAAGCCATTATAGCACGACAGAACATCTACACACAGTAGGGCAGATGATCGAGAAAGCTACAGAATATAATATAAACCTATGAATGGTTTTTGTCGATTTCCGAAAAGCCATCAACACAGTAGAAATCTGGGCAATAATTAAATCCTTGAGAAATGCCAGAGGGGATTAACGTTATATAAACCATATTGAAAACATCTATAGGACTTCGACAATGTCGATAAGACTTCATGAATCATCTAACAGAATAAACGCCAAAAGAGGAGTTCGGCAAGGGGACGTAATATCTCCAAAACTATTCACTTTGGTGCTCGAGGATATTTTTGAAAAGCTACAATGGGAAAACAAAGGATTGAACATACATGATGAACGCTTGCACAATCTAAGATTTGCCGACGATATTGTACTATTTGCAAAAGACAAAGAGGAATTGATAGATCTGTAGGAAAAACTACAGGATGAGGCGGCAAAAGTAGGATTACACATATGAACTACACAAAACCCAGTTTATTACAAATACCTACACCAGATGCAGACGAAACAATACCGATCCATGTCAGCACAATAAAAAAGACAAAAACATATATACCTACCTTGGCCAAGCTATAACACCGAGCAAAGAAAATCAAGAAATGGAATTTTTTTCACTCATGTGACTGTCACACTCGCCTTTGGCTCGTGCGTCAAAATTCCTATTCGTGAGAAAAGGTTCACTTTACACACTTGTTACATAAATAACCATTTATTTCCTTATGGTAGGTATTCTACTAAAATATATATGAGAGTAAAACAAAGTTCCTCCTTTTCTATGGTGACACTAACCAAATAATATTCCCAGAGCCAAAGCATCGGGCAACATATAGCGAGCGTTCCACAGTGCAAAAAAAAAGAAATGGCGACATTTATCACAAAGACAGCTTCATATACACACAAATGAATTATGTGGCGAGGTACGTTCCAAAATTAGAAATCTTTGATTAGCCTGAAGATTATTAGAGGCGACCGGCAAGAAGGATCGAACACGGTGATTCACTGAGAAGCAGGTGTAACTGCGCGACTTATTGACTTGGTTTTTGCAATGAATACGTTAAAATAAAGCAAAATTTGGTATAAATTAATAATATAGTAAATAAATAAATTTATAAAAAGCATATAGAAAAATTGAAACACACATGGCAACAGATTCTTAAAAGTACAACATTAAAGAGTATAATTAAGAAGTACAAAAATCAATCGAAAGAAAGCAGAAAAATATAGAAAAATATAAAAAAAAAACGCAATGGTTGAAACTAAAAATTGTGGTATACAAAACCTACATTGGCCGAAACAGATACAAAATATCATGCCATCACAAAAACTCTCCTTATTGGCGGGTAAAATAGCACTCAGGTGTCGCAATGTATATATGTGAGTGTGTGCCGGTAAAATGGAATGGCTTTATTAACTTAGAGATAGATTGGTTCAATGTTTATTCTTGGATTCTGAAACGTGATTTTATTTTGTTTGATGAAGCCGAAATACCTAGAATGCAAGGAAGGCAAAGCAAGATAATTTAAAAAAAATTATAATACTTACATACAAGAATTCAATAATTTGGAGAACAATTAGAACTGGAAAAACAGAAGAGATTCAAGAGGAAAACGGAGGCGCCACCTCAAGCCATAGTCATGAGAATACTGATGGAGATGATAATAACAAGGATTCAGAAAAGCAAGCAGTACATATAGGGTCATATTTTCACATTGAAATAAATTACGCAAAAATCAAAAGAACAGGGAAAAAGAGTATACCTACCTAGAATTATTTTAAAAATTTAAAAATAGGTAACATTTGACAGGGAGCCAGAAAAGATTCTGAAAAATATTTGCAAGGATGTTGAAAGCAAGGATTAAGACGAGGATTAAAATAATGAGACTGTTTAAGCACAGTGATAAGATGATGCACAACAAGAAAATAAGAAATTTATAGTGGGATATAAAAATTAGTAAATATTAAAAATATTGGAAGAAGATTTTGCCGAAGAGAAACAAAGCAGCTATTGACAAAAACTAAATAGAAGCAATTAATATAATTGATGATAGGGAACAATACAAAGTAAAACCAGTGATACAACAGGAATATATGAAAGAATAGAAAACAAAAATACAAAAACGAACAATCAGATTCTCGCTAGAATTTGGAACTTGAATATTATCAGAAAAGCCAACTACGATCTGCAGAAATGAAGTGAAGTATCTGAGAAGAGTACATTATTGATTATACTGAATTATATTTTAATTAAACCTACATATTATCTTTTATAATCTACAATAATTTTTGTGGAAAGAAAACTGATTAGAGGATTATTAAACATACTAGTTCGAGTTTCCATGTTTTCTGATAGGTAACTAAAATCTTTATTCCATTTGTCCATATTTTATTAAAGGCAGACAAGTTCCCATTCTATCGGAAAACGGTGAACAGGAATTTTGTCCCTGTCAGAGACCGAAGCGTCCTGAAGCCGATTTAGTGCCGGTGTTTATTTATCGCGGTCGGTGTTAATGATCGGCCCTGGCCGCAACAGGATTCGATATTCAGGCCCAGGGAGAGGGTTATTCTAGACAAGTGGACATCTAGTAAATTGATAATTTATATTCACTAATAAAAAACAAAAATAATTCTTATATGTCCCCAATTAAATCCTTGTATGTATATAGTCTGCTTTAAACCGCAAACGCTGGTAAGGGGTCTAAACGGGGGTGGTTTTCCACCCGAAAAATAACTAGCAGCCAGCAACGGTGGCGGCGGGGGCCGGCCAGGACGAATATCCTTTTTCTGTCCCGGGCTTAGATTAAACAACAGAAACAGAAATGTAAATTCCTGCTCGGTGGCCACTCGTAATTAGTGACGTCCGATCTAATGAGTGGACACGGGGCCCTGTGCCTCGGAACAATTTGCATCTTTGCAGCAAGATGGAAATTCTTCTGTAATTTCTATTTTAAAATTAACGAATGCATTCGGACTATGTGCCCGAGCTTACACGCGAATATATTATACACGGGATATGTGTGTATGTGAGTTGCTAGTTTAACTAGACGAAATCCTAATAATTAAAATTCCTTTGTTATTTTATGCCTATTTAGATCATACCTACCTTGATTATTTCTTTTTCTCAAAAGCTGATATTGCTTATAGATTTCATCAAAACTTTTTTTCATTATTAATTTCTTTTCCTCATTTTAAATTAATCACAATTAAGTAACATATACCTAAAGTATAATGTAGTAATTTAACACTGTGGACATCTGCTTGTCTAAAGGTAATTAGTCTTTACCACAAGGGTGAAATGGTCATTAACATAAATTAAATTATATTACATATGGTTTTTGAATTAATTTCAAAATTATGTTTATTTAATATGTTGATTTGATCTAGGATAATACTTATATAGTTAGAATAGGTACCTTTTATTTCTTGTATATGTCTTATAACTGGATTACAATAAATCTAATAACTCATCATTAACGCTTGATGCGCGCCTGAAAAATTTAATTAAACAATAAATTAAATCGATACCTCCTACTTCTCGCCATCAGCTCGGAAAACCATCTTTCAACAGCCATAAAACTTTACTACTCTAAAACAATTAAAATTCGCTACGATAAAACCTAAAACGCCGAAAACAGTTATACAACGGCATCGGGGGAGGATCGAAAATCGAAAAAATCGGTTGATTTGTGATCTAAAAGGGGTGTGTTAACTAAAAAGCGGGAACGTGGGGACATATTCATTAACAACAAACTCCGAAAATCTTATAAATATACCAGCATAAAATCACAATTAGTTTTCGAATAATATTTTTTTTTACATTGATGTTCAATCCTATAAGTACATATTGCTTGTTAACTATTTCTTATTCTAGTTTCGAATAAATTCATGTATTAGATATATTCGCGATTCGAGAATCGGTTCCCTTTATCAAAGGGTGATTCTCTACCCCTTTTGCGTTAAGGGAGAGCCAAGCAGAAAGTTTATGTCTTTTGATATTTTATACCATCTTCGCCGCGCTGTGTTCCGATGTTCGATATTAAGATTTAGGGTTGGAGTTTATTAGTCCCTTTTAGTTTAAATAATGTTTCGGAATATGCGGGTATAGGGATAGGATTAGCAATTTTGATTGTCTTCATGTTGGTTGGACAAAGAAAAAAATTCCCTTTGACCTCGAACGAAAAAGTGATCGAAATACAACATTGGAATATAAAGTAGGTCCCGTTCGTTTGGTCGAGTTATCTCCCTCCGATATCGGGTGCCAGTGTTAATTCCCTTAGTCCGTTGCGGTCGCGGAGTCCAATTTTTACCATTTGGAGATTTCGTGTAAGATAATCTAACGGACATCTATAAATATGGCGACCAATACCAGGGGGTCGTTGTAAAATTAATTAGATAGAAATTGTGTGACCGAGCGACAACGTTGTCAGATCTAAGTTCTTATTAAGTTACTATGTAATAAATTTTTGGTAAAATAAAGGCCTGAAATATTCAAAGGTTGAATCGTCTTTAAATCAAAGCTCAGGAGAATTTTTTTTTTTCTAATATAGCATTGAGCTTGAATCAATTTCTAGAAATGTATGGTCGTTGCAAAAAGACATTGGTTACAAACAAATCTTAGGGTAGCTTGGCATAGCCAAACCCAGCTAGTAACGAAGCTAAGAAAACCACTCCTAGGAAAAGTGCAAAGACTTGTAGTCTATGCGGTAGACCATCAAAATGGGGTAAAATGTAGCAAGGGGTTAAAAGCATGTAACTTATCATAGTTGTTTTTTAGACTATTTCAAGTGATTTGACCCGCAGCACCTCAAATTTCGTCCCTAGAGGGTGGTTCACCCCTACTTTATTTTTGAAAGGTTAAAATTAACAAAAACGTTTATGTCATCGGATTATTTCAATATTGGTGTCATTTTAGACTAATTGATCGAACATGAGGAATTCAAAAAAAAATATAAAGTTTTTTTTTTTTTAAAGATAAAAGTCAAAATGACATTATGTTGGCAATACAATGTAAAATTGTCAATGCTTTCAAATTTTCTATGTAGAAAAGGCTTGTGTTGCCAACATAGTTACTAAATTTTTGACTTGGGGAATTATCTTTAAAAAAAAAACAGACTTTATGTCATGTTCATCACCCAACGGCAAGGCTCTATTGCTGTCATATTTGACATAAGTGTCAAAAGTATAATTTTTTTTTTAAATTCAGACCCAAGGTTGTCTGAGAGAGGTAGATTGCCAGATAACTTTATGACGTCATTTGAGGTGCCTCAACATAATGCAAATCTCCATAGGGCACCTCAGCAGGGGCGGCTTCTCAATAAGTGCGCTCGTGCGCGCGCACTGCCTCCAAAAATCAAGCAAGAAAATAAAATTAAAATTTTGGAAAGAAAAGAAACTTCAATTAAAAAATACCTACCCAATTTTCTAAATTAGGATAAATATCTACTCATTTTTCTATTTTTAAATTCGCACGAACGGAACGAAAGCGCGCCCTGTCTTGTATATTTTTTTCTCCCGCTTGGTTGTGCTGGTGGTCCGGGTGGTCGGTGTGGAATCGTTCGGCGCTCTGGGTAGATGTGTTTTCTCGCTGTGCGATTGATCGGGAATATACGGTAAGTCGCCCGATGAAAGGGATGCGCCGTGCGCTATTTGAATACACACTTCCAATGTTGTTTCCACTCAATCGAGAATATTTCGATGTTTTTTCACCATTTTGGCGGTTTGACAACTCTGTTGTTCGCGGTTTTTTTTTTAATTATAAATTTCAATATCAATTATGTATTATGGCTAGAATACAAACATGCAAGCCTCATTTAAATACATATATTTTTGTTTTCGATAATTTTTCTTAAAGTAAAAAGAAAAAAAATCAACATACAAAATAAATGTAAAACAGGACGTGGCACCTCCAAAAAATTTTCCAAGAGCGCACAACCACACTAGCTTGCCACTGGCCGCCACTGCACCTCAGATGCGTCATCAAGTTACCCATTTATAGAATTTGGCACGAGAAATTCAAAAAAGTATGTTTCGAATCTGTAGATGTTACCGATACAGCTCTAGCAAGAGCAGTAATGAATATAGCGTCACGTCACACCTAGCGTCACACAGAAAAAAAAATCAAAATAGGATAGGTGGTTTTGAGTGTATAGTTTACCCCGTATCACTTCATTCCTCTTTAATACTGCTTGCAGGCAAGCGCGCAGGGCAATTCACTTCTTCTACAGGAGCAACGCACTGTGTCACATGGCGTGTTGCACCCACATGTATCTAATGATCTCCATGCCTCCCAAATATGTGGTTCTTTCGACTACAATGGTACCCACTTGCTTTCATTATCTCTATATCCCCAGGTACTTGGTGTAGGGAGAATGGCCAAAATCGAAATGTCAGTGTCGGTACAACAAATAAGCACTGCTTTAGTACCATATCTTCAACGTGCAAAATTATTCGCCCATCCGCCTTCTCCATTTGAGCACAAAATACAACCTCTAAGTTGATAGAACTGCCAGTTAACGACTTACAGCTCTCATCCACATTAATAACCACATGAAGTTACAATGCTCAATACTATCCGCCAAAAATTTGAAAATATTTTGTTTATTGGAAGTGTTCCGCAAATATATCTCCCAATTAGTTGGTATCAGTCTAAATGACACCAATATTGAAATAATCTGATGACAAAGACGTTTTTAGTAATTTTAACCCTCTAAAAATAAAATAGGGGTAACACAACCCTCCTAAGGGATGAAATTTGAGGTGCTGCGGCTCAAATCACGCGAAATAGTCGAAAAAACACCTCTGCCAAGTTTCATGCTTTCAGCTCAATCTGCTACGTTTTTTCGTGAAACGCACGGACTATTGCGTGTCTCTGTTCATACAGAGATACGAGCAATGGGATCATGTTCAACTGTGAACTCTGACACTAGAAAGCATCCTGGACCTGACACCACTCCCCACCATTATAATAGTGAAGCGGGTTGGATTTTAGGTTTTAACCAAAGAAGATTATAACTAAGCCTATTGATAAACCTTATAGCAAGAGAAATCTCAAACATCTTTTTTCTTCCCGATTTTATAACGTAGATATATGCCATACTAAAACATGTCTCAGTATCGGCGAAATAGTTACTGTCACCACGGTTAAAGGCTGCTCACAAGGTGGTGTCCTTTCACTACTTCTGTGGACACTAGTGGTAGACAGCATTTTTACCAAACAGGCTAAGCAACGTCGGAATAACTGTCCTATAGGATACGCAGATAATCTGGTGGTAATAATGAGAGGCAAGCATGAAATCATAGTAACAGGGTCCATATTCTCGAAGCAGGGGAGCAGCGTTCTCCTGAGACCGAAGTTTCTGTCTTCGTCGCTTATATTCATATTTCTTTCACTTACAAAAAGAGAGTAATCGTTCTGATAAGAACGCTGTTTCCCGGTTTTGAAAATAGACATCCAGGCCCAATGGAAAGTGCCTTGAATAAAACCAAAAACTGGAGCGAGGAAGGACTTTCCATAAATCCCAGTGAAACTCCCTTACTTCCGTTTACGAACACAAAGAAGTTGAATCTGCGAGCCCCTCTAAACGACACACGATCTCTCTCGGATGAAGTTCAGTATTTAGGGATCACCCTGGAAAGCCAACCCACTTGGAACGACTATCTGAAAAAAATAATAATATCACGAGCTACGGCGGCCATATGCCGCAAGCTCGAGGGAAAAACATGGGAAATAAGACGGAAAATGGAACATTGAATTTTCCGAACAGTTGTACCCATTGGCGCCTACGCTTCGTTGGTATGGTGGCCAAGGTCTGAGCAAATTACTGCACAGAACAATCTACGTAAAGTACAAGGGCTAATCTGTATAGGAATAACAGGAGCTATGTCAACCAGCTCCACCGCGGCTTTATATAGAGGTACTGCTGAACATGCCTTCTCTCCACCTATATGTGGAAAAAGAGGCAAGAATGAATGTCTATAGGTACGCTATTCCAAACAAAACTATTTGAACTTGGTGATCTGAATGCGACTTACGCATCCTTCAGTCTATAAAGCTCGAGTGCCAAAACTCTTCTTAATGCTTAAAACGCCCACAATATTTCAAGTTCAGGTACTAGAAACATCTGTGACTAATGAAAAGCCCCTTCTTCGAAGATGTGGAAAGGACGGA